CACCTTCCTACGTGGCTTAAACTAAATGTTGTGGGTTTCATTGACTGATGAAACCATATTTTCGTTTGACCGCCGCCAGCTCTTTCCCAGCCTGACCCTATGTCAGCTAACATTGCCCGTCGAGGAAGGCCATGACTAGGCATGCATGCGCAACACATGTCCTAACCATCTCAATCGATGTAGTTTCACAGTCTCGTCGATTGATTTCCCCTCCCACCTACCTACCACTCGACCGAAGCCTAACCTGAATATTGCTCACCTTATTATATCACTTCACACGGGAGATAGAGCGCAGGCATCTATGATCAAAGACAGCTAATCTTTTCATGTCTTCCACTCTCTCTCTCTTTGCACCAGAGACGGTGTAATCTGGCATATGCGAAATTAGCCCTCTGTATCCTTGCTGAGATTTCGTCAGAGATCAACCTGTTGGGGCTGAATGTGAAACATACTGAACTAAAGCTTGCGCTGAAGATGTTACCTAGTCGAACAAAGCAAACTTTGCAATTACATTAACCGGTGTGGTGAGAGCAGGCTGCTAGCCGATTGGTTGGCACTAATCTACGTTAAGGTCTAGGTCACTAATATGGGCCGTGAGAAAATATGAACAAGGCTGAGTCAACAACCAATCACAGCAAAGTTAACGTGGCAAAATATGATTCGCAGATAGAGAACTCTATTTGTCAAGGAATCCCGAAACAACCAATCAGAAGCCTGCGTTTGTCTACCTAACTTCTGATAAACAACCAATCAGATGACTGCGCTTGTCTATAATAATGTAGTTGAAATATGTATAAATACGTGTTGATTTTCATAATAAAACGATCTGTTGCCTCGCCCTTGTCTTCTGTTGTTACATTTGGTGTCGCTGCCTCCAGAAAATGAAGATCCCGTGGCCAACTGCGTTTGAAGAAGGAGACATACGGAGCTTCTTACGTGACTTCGAGGCCGTCGCTGAGCTGTTGGGTGTCAAGGAGCAGGCAGCGAAGGCAGTTGTCCTGGGGACGCTGTTGAGAGGCCGAGCGAAGGCTGCATATGACAGCGTAGACAGGTCAAATGGCACAGCGTCTTGGAAGAAATTGGTTGAATGACTAGTGTCCGAGTTTGACAGCGAAACAGACAGACAGCTAGCAATGCAGCAGTTCCGGTCAACGAAGCTGTGACCTGATGGAGACCCGTTATTATTGGCGGTGACATTGACGAATTTACTTCGACGGGCGCTTCCCACGTTGGATAAAGAATCAGAAGAGCAGTTACTATCTTCCCAATTCATCGAGAGTGTCCCAGACCACATTTCTCAGCAATTAAAACTGGTTAACGCAACGCAACCGATGGATATTAGTGAGCTGGCGAAGGTGACCAGACAGCTGCTGAGCAGAATTTTAACCGCTGTAGAGCAACCAAAACCACACGAATATGAGCAGAAAATTGAAGCATTGCAGCAGAAGTGGCTGCGTTAAAGTTGGGTGATAGAAAAGACCGATGTTTTCAATGTGGTAAGCCGGGACACTGGAGAAGATACTGCCCAGAAAGTCGGAAAAGAAAAAGTTTCAGACGGTGTAATACGTGTTCTTTCTCTCGTATGAAACTAGATTTAGTGGAGGGCTATTCAGAAAGGGGCTGTGTATTCGAAATTGCGAGTAAATGATCGAGAAGTAGTATGTTTAGTAGATACAGAGACGGCCGTGTCGTTAATGGATAAGAATTTATGTAAGAGTGTTAGTCCGTGTTCATTGACAGTACAAACAGTAGGCGGGCATGTGTTACGTATCACGGGTAGATTGAACTGTATGGTCGTTGTTGGCGGCTGCGAGGTGACATTCTCTTTCATTGTTGTACCCGAACTACAGCGAACGATATTAGGGGCGGATTTTCTGCGTTAGATTGGTGCAATAATCGACACGCAAGCGAACGTGGTGATCACGAAATATGGACATACCAACATGTATGAGACCAGCGAGATAGCAGTGGTGAAGCTGTCGACGGTATACAATATGACAGATTTAATTAATAAATACGATCATCTGTTCACTGGAGATGGCGACCCATACGGTTATTGCGACAAGGTGAATCATGAAATTCGGTTAAGTGATCCAAAAGTAAGGTCATTTACAACGCGAAGAATGCCATGTCATCTGGAAGGCGAAGTGGAGCGACAAGTGCAAGAGATGTTAAAAGACTATATTATTAATGAAGCTGATAGCCCGTACAACTCTCCAGTGCTGTTAGTAAAGAAAGCAAATGGGAAGTATAGATTCTGTGTTGATTTTCGACAGTTAAATAGTATGACAGTATGACACAATATCGATTCAAAAGCATGCCGTTTGGACTAGCAGGTGCACCGTTTACGTTCAGACGACTGATGAAGCTATTACTTAAGAACTTGAAAAACGTGGAGGTTTATGGTGATGATCTCGTCATATACAGTCAAAACGAAAACGATCATGTGAACCATGTAGAAGCCGTGCTGCGACGCATCGAAGAGTTTGGAATGCGCATCAACAAAACCAAGTCCCAGATAGCCAAAAAGAATGTTACTGTGTTGGGACATAAAGTGGAAAATGGTGAGATTAAACCACTGCCGGGGAAAATTTTGACGATTAAAACGATTCTAGCCCCGGATTCAAACAGAAAATTGAGGCAATTCTTGGGTAGAGCGGCGTTTTATAGTCGATTCGTGAAGAACTTCAATGAGATAGCAGCCCCTTCTATACAGGCTACTAGGTGAGCCGAAGTTTGTTTGGTCGGAGGAATCGCAGAGGACATTCGACAGAATTAAACAGCTGCTCGACCACCAACAAATGACGCTAAAACTACCTGTGCCAGGAAGACAGTTCACAGTGTGCACAGATGCCAGTGACTACGCTATAGGTGCGGTCCTAAGACAGGACGAGGGAATCGTTGAGTATGCCAGTAGGGTTTTGACACTTACAGAGAGAAAGTATTCAACGATAGAGAAAGAATGTTTAGCAATGGTATGGGCAGTCGACAAATGGAGACCTTATTTACTCGGCCGGCGGTTCCACATCGAAACTGATCATAAGCCGCTACAATTTTTGAAGACAGCGAGAGACCCACGGGGGAAGTTGTCACGGTGGATGTTGCGTCTTCAGGAGTACGATTTTACGATCTCACACGTTCCTGGAAGTGAAAATGTCTTGGCAGATTTGTTATCGAGACCAGAAGATGAGTCTGAGTTGCCCGAGGTCGCTTACGGAGTGCATGCAGTAGAACAAGACCCACTAAGACTTGCACGTAGGCAGAGGTTGGACGATACGCTGAATACAGTAATACAGGTGATCACCAACGGAATAGAAGTGGATCAAACTACGGCGAGTAAGGAGCTAACCACACTACTCAGACAGAGGGATCGACTCAGAGTGAATGCCTACGGGACTCTGACCTGGCGAGAGAACGACGGAAGCTGGCTGGCTGTCATACCTCAATCGTCGCGCCACGACATGATAGAAGAATGTCACCAGCTAGCGCATACAGGCGTGGCCAGAACGACCGACCTCCTAAGACAAAGTATGTACTGGCCAGGTATGAGAGAAGACGTAGCAAGATACGTACTTGGATGTCCACGGTGCCAGCTGATGAAAGGTGACCGGTGTATACGACCACCACTTCAGTCGATTCCAGTTACCGCGATAGGTGACTTGTGGTCCGTAGATGTCATGGGTCCATTTCCTCAGACATCCAATGGTAATCAGTACCTCTTGGTGATGACGGAACACGCGACACGATGGGTAGACGCCGTAGCAATCCCAGACCAACGTGCAAGAACCGTGACAGATGCAGTAGTTAGACACATTGTTGCAGACCACGGCGTACCGAAGACAATACTGACAGACCAAGGTCCCTGTTTCGAGAGTGAAGAGTTTACTTCCCGTTTGCAACAGCTGGGCATCAAGAGGATCAGAACGACCCCATACCATCCACAAACGAATGGCCTAACGGAGAGAAACAACCGTACACTGAAGGAGTGGCTGGCCTCGAAGGGCGGGAACTGGGAAACGGAGCTTCCACTGATTTTACTAACACATCGGGCTACCACTCAGGAAACAACGAAGAAGTCACCCTTCCAACTGATGTATGGTAGAAAACCACGATTACCGGTACACAATGAGACCTGGCCCATGCACCAAAAGTGGAGTACGACGAAATTAAAAGCAGAGAGGAAAGAGGCAGTCAAGAATGTAATACGGAAGCAGCGCAGTGATGTCACGAAGTCTCAGATGAAAGAAAGGACGCAGTGCATTACCGTTTGCAGTCGGGGACCAAGTGAAGTGTAGAGACAGGAGATATACAGTTGGAGGCGGGCTAGGTTCACGGAAACTCCTTCCAAAGTGGGAAGGACCATACACAATCACAAAAAGACGGGGTCAAGTATATACCATCCGAAGAGGTGAAAACAGAAACGAGTTAACGCCAGTCAGCTCCAAAGATGGGTACAGTGGGACAAGCCGGTCAGTAACAATCCTCAACTAGAGGATGTAGCACCCAGAAGGTCGGAACGTCTGCGCAGCGAAGCTATTTGACGGGGGGACGAGTGTGGTGAGAGCAGGCTGCTAGCCGATTGGTTGGCACTAATCTACGTTAAGGTCTAGGTCACTAATATGGGCCGTGAGAAAATATGAACAAGGCTGAGTCAACAACCAATCACAGCAAAGTTAACGTGGCAAAATATGATTCGCAGATAGAGAACTCTATTTGTCAAGGAATCCCGAAACAACCAATCAGAAGCCTGCGTTTGTCTACCTAACTTCTGATAAACAACCAATCAGATGACTGCGCTTGTCTATAATAATGTAGTTGAAATATGTATAAATACGTGTTGATTTTCATAATAAAACGATCTGTTGCTTCGCCCTTGTCTTCTGTTGTTACACCGGAAGCTCAGAGATCACAACCAAAATAAAAATCATACACCTGAACAATAAATATTCTCTATGTACTGTACTCAAATAATTTAATTACACAGTGAAATACCAGCTTACCGCATTTTGATATCTGAATACTTGGTACTTGTTCGTTCAGTACCCGTAGCTGCATAACTGTCAGGATTACTTATACGGATTTCCTTGCAACACTGTTTAACATCTGTATGTTGTCCTAGTAGACGTAAATTGTCCACATGAAGATTTTTATCACGATCAAAAGGCCGGTAGAGTCGTAGTAGAACATGTGATACTAAACGAGGCGAAAATATGATTGTATGAAATTCAGGGGACGTAGTGTGTGTATTCTGACGAGTTGAACTGCTACTACTACTATTACTAGCTGATGGAAATGTACCAGATTTATGTGAACTAACAAAAGATCGTCGAGAAGCACCGGGTAGATCACGATATAGTTCAACTTCAACTGCTGCAGGACTAGCTAGGAAAGGCGATGAAGGAAGAAAAAAACAAAAGTAACAAATACAACAACATGATGTTAAAAATCACCTTATGGACAAAATGAAATACGAATCTTCTTTACCTAATACAATGTATTAGAATGTTCAGAACACACAAACAAACAAATTGAATCACAAGTATCTGATCCTTACTGAACTTCATCAAACACATTTCGAAACTAATTTTCTTCTTTTCTTCTTCTTCTGCATTCCCCTTGGAACATAGGAGGCTCCTAGCATTAACTTTGAAGTTTCAACAGAAGTGGTATTGATTATTTTGGTTGGGATAAGGCTACTAGCCCAAAGCCCAATCTTCACGCTTTACCGGGCCTGTTACAGACTAAGTGATGTTTAGGAGTGTGTCGTAGTTGGCGAGTATATTCTATCACATTGAACCACCAACCATTACAAAATTAGCACAAAAGATTATTGTTCAAGTAGTTTCAGATTGTAAGGATTGATTTAGATTCAATGCATACCTCAACATGAACAGACATGATATTAACCAGCTTCACAGCTTCGTTCGTATCGAGCACAAAAGAAATTTAGTGAAGACCCTCAGCCACAGAGTTAGTTAGAGCTATATGCTCAGAAAAAGTAATTGAAGATAAAATTAAGCATTGTATATGATACTTTGATCGGGAATAGCTATCCCGAAAAATTTATTAAGAAACACATGACAAAGAAAACGGAAAAGGACTACTCACTATCTGTAAACAAAAAGCCACTTTATATACGACCACAATTCAAGAGTGATATACTGAGATGATTACGAGGAAATTAAGAAAATCAGTTCAAAGAACTTTTAATGCTGACGAACTACACGTATTATTCTCTACACGACCGATGGTGCTACATCGACTGAAAGATGAAGTACCTAGACTAGCTGGCCACTTCAAATTGAATTTACCAATTCAACTGCGCTACTTGTGAAGCGAGTTATATTGGACGTTGCTCTAGGGACGTGATTTTTCGTCCTCACTCGAGAACATCACCCACTATGGCTAAGTAAAGGTGTAGTGAAAACCATTAACAGTTCTATATTGGACCATCTGGTGCAAACCGACTGGCCACAAAGCCAGCTTGGAAGAATCCTCCTCCTATATTATATACCGGGTGCCTAATAAGTTTCCAAAATCATCGAAGCACCGCATGCTCCAAACATCAGAGGCTATTGCAGTTCGCCTCAAACAACCAGTGCTCTCTGTTCAAAGGAAGCAAGTCCAACCAGACCCTACTACTGCCCTGGCTGGCCTTCAGTAGAAACTATAAACTCAGGAATTTGTAATATTATTTTTCCTAATTTTTCTGACATTCAGCTTATTTTATGTTGATCCTATTAAGTTGTAATCTATTAATATTATTGGTTCGATGTTATTTAAACAGCAACATTAATGTTGTTCATAACACTGGTTCATTCATTCACTATAATGTATATATAACTGTAGAGCCTGATGATGAAAGGGTTATCGAAAAGAGTACTCTTTGTTCAGTATCCATTCTTTTGAAAAATCAGGTAATTGTTTTAAACTGAATAACATAGTCGGCCAGTTTTTCGTCCTAATGTGAGACTCCTCAGTAATGCGGTTTCATGAATTCATCAAAGATCAAATTTACAATCTCCGGGTTACACTTCGAGCATGTTTACCATTTTGATTACTGAGCTGTAATCCAATGATCCGTTAACTGATAACGATTCTGTACTTAAAAATAAGTCAATTAATTTCCCACAAACTCAAAATCTGAATACTAATCTTCAATACTTTAGTGCCTAGACTTAGAATGATTGCCTTTACGTTCTACTGAAAACTTGTAGACGGTAGAGTATACAATGTCGTGTGTGAAGCGGATGCTCGTCGATGACATCGGTTGTTAGGGATGGTGCTAATTCAAAAATTTAAAGAGCAAACTCGGAATTCATGGATCAACCGGACGTTGACTCATTGGTTGAACAGTAAAACAGTAGAGGACTTTAATTCAATTTCTGATGGAGCCATATATATGTAGTGTTAAAGAGTACCAAACTAGAGAGAAAACACCAATTAGACCTCCTTAATTTTTGATAATTCTCTGATTGATGTTAGTTCATCAGGAAATCTACAAGAAAATAAGTGGTGATATAAAAAGGCAAATATACTTGACCAAAAAAGAGACTTTTCATGAAGCTGGATTTCAAATGAGAGACTTAGAGAGAGAGAGAGGCATATTGGTCATTCAACGCGCATCCCCGTCTAGAAGAGCTCAAGAACACTATCTCTCATAGTTGCAGAAAGGCAGCTGCGGCTCTATAAGGAGTGTGATAATCGAACATTTTGTAATCACTACTGGTCATTCCATCTCAACAAACGCCTCCTCCATCAAAGTAATCTACAAAGTGAAGAATAACCTGTCAAAGGCAATATACGCCTTCAGCCCGTTCGCATGCATCGCTGAAGCTCCAGCCATTCATATGGAAAAAGCTGAGCTGCGCATACAAAAGAAAATTATTCAACCACTTCTACTATCATGGTAATAACTTTGCTCGTTTGTGTGTGCCAACTTGATTTTGGTTTGTTTGTTTGTTTTTCCAACTCCTTATAATTCTCCTTAGACGTCAGTGGCACAGAGGTTAGGACTCTCGCCGACCATGCACATGGTCCGGGGTTCGAGCCCATGCCGACGCACACCTGATATCTATGGTTGGCCTGCGAAATTTGGGCTACCGATATCCACGCTGAAAATTCCATACTTGTACCAAAAATACAATGTTGAATCAAGCTGTAATCAAAAATAAAATAAAAAAATAAATACATAATTCCATATTTTCCTTCATTTCTATTTGCATCCTGATACAACTCATTTATTCATTAAATTATTGATCTTATTACGCAAGTTGAATGCACTTATTTTTAAATCCTCCTCTTATGCATTAACAGAGTCCCACAATATCGTAGAAAGGGACTTCGGATACGCCACCTGTACATAGTTGAAGCACTAGCTATTCGAGATCTGAAACCGGACCTCTGCATTCAAAAATGATATATACATTCTCTTGTCCTAACACGGCCAGAGTAAAGTTCTTACTACAATTTTGCTTCATTATGTAAGTTCACTATTATTATTATTGTTCTTAATACTTTTATCATTATTACTATTCTTATTATCCATATTTTATTACCACTCTATTACTGTTTATTAATAACATTACTTTTTCATACAGATTTTATATAAAAATAATTTATCACCTTTCCACTAGTCCCTGTCCATCCCACACGGGCTTATTGATTAGTCATTACCCCATACTTATTACGTCACTCCAGTTTCTGCCTCTTTTCTAACTTACCATTAGTCATTCCTTCTTACACCTTACATTATGTAATACAATTTTTCAAGGACAAAGTTTACCAATATCTGATTGGTCTAAAGATTTCTTTGTTAAATATATAATTACGATTGTACAGCACTCATGAAAATGAATCGTCGAAAAGGGGAAAATTTTCTTCGCTGTTTGTGCCTTTTTCTTAATGAATATTAACAACTATGTAATAACTCATCACCATCTTTACCACCCTGTTTCATGAAAAATAAGATGCATATAAAAATGTGTTTGTACCGATGAAATGAATTCGTCGAAAAGAGCTCCTTCGTTGAGCAAGGTGTTTTGTTTTGATAACTTTTGTGTTTCAAATCTATTCAAAGTACTTAACAATTTGGTGAGATGTAGTGGCATAATAAGTGTGATTATGAAATAAGATATGAATATATAAGTATTATTACCGTTATTATAATGAGTGGAAAACTAGCTTCATAAGTCCACACTACAAATCTGGTGATAATGTAAACGTTCGCAATTACAGACCTATAAATGTAACCCTAATGATCTCGCGAATCATGGAGAAAGTTGTTGAAGATCAATTGTCAGACTTTCTATTTAGGGAAGAACTCTTACAAGATCTCAAACACGGATTTCTCAAAAATAGATCCTGCGTTACTTGCCACTTCGACTTTTTCAACTGCATCACTAGTAGTCGCGAAGCAAGTAAGCTAGTCGTTGTTCGCTACTTCGATATATCTAGGACGTTTCACATGGTATCTCACAGTATTCTCTTTGAGAAGCTGTACTCGTGTGGAGTTCGCAATCCATCATTTAACTGGTTAAATTCACATCTAAGCGACAGGGTACAAATAACCAAAGTCAGATCTGTATTGTCTCACCCTAAGCAGATCACAAGTGAGGTTGTGCAGGGTAGTGTCCTAGGACCACTTTTACTGAGATGGTTAGGACATGTGTTACGTATGCCAAGCCATCACCTCCCTCGACGAGCTATGTTAGAGGATAGGTCAGGCTGGAAAAAAGCTAGCGGCGGTCAAAAAACTTGGCGTCAGTCAATGAAATCCACAACAGTTGGTCTGAGCCACGTAGAAAGGTGTAGACTTCCTGGCTGGGGTCCTGGACGGTAAAAATCTATGGTTGGAAACAATTGGTGACATGGCTCAAAATCGTCAGTGCGCAGATGCATCCACTCCTTGTGACTTATGATCTTCAATGAAACTGTTTTGTATTTCTTTATTACCTTTGTCTCACACCTCTGCTCACTGTTTCTATTATGCTTTTCTTGTACTTTCTTCTCTTGCTTCGCGTGCTACACGGAATGTGCGACTTGAACTTCCGCACATTTGTGCAAAGTTCTATGTCGAAAACAGACAAACAGACAGACCACTTTTACTTACAGTCTACACTGACAGCGTTTGTAACTGCTTCACCTCAGGTAAACCATTCCTATATGATGACGATCTCAAAGTCGTCTACTCCTGCTACACTCATGAATTAAGCGATATGGTTAATAAAATACATCTTGAACTAAGTGGTCTCTTAACATCGTGTGATGTATCCTGTCTAAAGTTTGACATTGACAAATGCGGTTGGATTTGTATCGGCAACAGTAACCTTGACCTGACTCTTGAAATAAATGGGCGAAAACTAGCCAAGCTCAACTCAGTC